CACACACACACACACACACACACACAATGCGTGTGTTTTTTTTAAACCTCACCTGTTGCTACCAGATCCTACCCCCAGTCTCTTTTCCTGGGTGGACACTATTAGCATCATCTCACTTCAGAACAAGGCTCAGTTCAAAGCAGGATAGATTTAAACAAACAACAAACAGACGTGGCATGTGTCTCAGTGTCTTTGTTTCCTGATTTGTCTGCACACTGGCCAGACCGTCTCATTCCTAGAATCTAGGGGTATTCCCAGCCTCCCTAAAGGTAAGCTTGCAGTAAAATAAGGCAGGTTCCCCCAAGCAGAGGATGAGAAGCAGGGTGGGTACCTGCTAGCAAAGCCATCACCGATCCCCATGGGGCCAGTCAGCATTTGTGATGGCTTCAGTAAAAACAGACAAAAACGAAAAATTCATCACTTTGTTGGGAGATTAAACATTCAAAGTATGTGTTTCATCAACAGAAAATCAACATATTAATTCTACTTTAAAAGTGGATAATCCACAACCATGGCTGGTTACATATGGATTAGTATCACCTTGGCAGCTATCAAAAAGAACAGTAGGAGCCTGGAAGACAGACGGTTCAGTCAGCCTTACTGTGTGACTTGATCCCCAGCACCTACATAAAATACCGGGCATGGTGGCATAAAGTTATAATCACAGCACTAATGAGGCCAAAGATGTGGATCCCTGGTGTTTGCTGGTAGCCTCACCTACATGGTGAACCCCAGGTTCAGTGAGAGACCCTGACTCTACCCCCAGACATCCAACCAAGGTGGATGCCTCCAGGGGAATGACACTCGAAGTTGACCTCTGTCCTCCATACACACATGCACCACCTCAACCTTCTCTGTCCACATTTCCCCTTAGGAAAGCGCCACTCCATGGCAGACCCATGTATCCAAACCGAAGAGAGCGCGAAGCAATGATCTTATCATCTTACGCTGGAGTCTTAATGGTGAGAAAAAGAGCACTGTCTAAGTGGACATTCTATGCCTGTTTTTTTTTTTCTTCGTTGTTATTTTGATTTTCGAGACAGGATTTCTCTGTGTAGCCCTAACTCACTCTGTGTAGTCCTGGAACTCACTCTGTAGCCCAGGCTGGCCTTGAACTCACAGACCTCCATGTGCCTCTGCCTCCCAAGTGTTGGAATCAAAGGTGTGCACCACCACACCTAGCTTCATTTCATGACCTCTAAACTCATTTTGGTACTAATGTATACTTACATGTTTTCAGTATTGCTTCTAAATGCCTGAGATTTACTAATAGTAAAATTTGTGATTTTAAATGTGTAATAAAAATTTGACCTCCATGCCATACTGTAAAAATATTTATGGGAGACAAGAAAAAAAGATGAGAGACATTAATGTCAGAAAACTTATTTACACAACAATCTAGGAGTTATTACCGAGTTGCTGTGCTACCTTACACTGTGCTAGACCCATTGTAGCTGCAGTAATTTTGTTTTTTAATAAAGAAAAAGCCACAATATGACAACACATTGTTTTTGTTTCACAGAACAGTATCCCAATTGAGGAAGTCCTGAAAATTTACGGGGCCTCTTCTTCTACCGTACCTGACTCTACAAAGGTAAGGGTGATATGGGACTATTGATACCAAGAATATACACATGCTAGGGATTGAACTCGGACCTGTTTATGGGTATAAGCTAAGCAAGCACTCTACCACAGACATATTCCCAGCCCATAGCTCACAGCTCTTTACGTGTGTGCATCTGTGTGTGCGTGCGTACGTGTGTGTGTGTGTGTGTGTGCTGCTGGGGACTCTTCTCAGAGTTTTCTACCTGCTAAGCATCCATTCTGCCATTGAGCTGCATTCCCAGCCTTTGAATATGCATCCACAACGATATATTTTCAGGCACCAGATAATAACAATTTTATGTCCAAAAGTAAAAACTGAGGTATTGAGTTTCTCAGCAAAAAAGTCTCCTGCAGTTAATCCCAGCTCCCTGGTTCAATTCCCAAAATCTATGTGGTGGAAGGAGAGAGCACTCCTGAAAGCTGCCCTCTGACCGCTACATGAATGCTGTGGCACACAAGTGTCCACCTCCCCCCCACACTTCAAATAAATAGTTGTATTTTTTTTTTCTTGAGATGTTTCACTTTGTATCCCTGAATGTCCTGGAACTGACTCTGTAGACCAGGATGGCCTCAAACTCAGAGATCCGCCTGCCTCCTGAGTGCTGGGATTAAAAGTGAGGGATGCCACCACCTGGCAATAATTCTATTTTTAATAAAGGTAAAAACCAGATGCAGCCCCATCTTGAGTTACATGTGCTTGTAAAATGCCCTTCTTTTAAGTGGAGTCATATATGGTAACTACCAGTGTAGTTCTGTGGTTGGCCGAGGAGCAGTACGTGGTAACCTGGTCAGCCCTGTGGGTGGCCCAGTCTGGCAGCAAAGAGGCACTGGGCTAGGAGTCCAGACCCCATCACTTTTGACCACTGTAACTTCTCACTTGTGCTTTCAGTAACGTGGACCTAGAAAGTCACAGTGTGCCATTTGTTTGACGCATTTTATACCCAGAAAAAGGACCAGATCCATAAGGATTATTCTCAAGAAAAAAAAATAGCAAATGGTGGCCCCTGCCCCTTTCTCACTGACTCCTTGGGCATCCCCGGCAGGATGGCCCAGTGCAGAGCTCTCTTTCTCCCTCTCCAGAGCCCTCAACGTGTCCTTTTCCTCCTTTGGGCCTCTACATTTTATCCTTTTATTTTAAAAAGTGTTCTGTTGCCAGCAGATGTAATCTGTAATCTCACACCTGTAATCTCTGCACTTAGGTGACGGAGGCAGGAGAATCAGGAGTTTAAGGTCATCCTTGACAACATAGGTAATTTAGGCCAACCTGGACTACCTGAGGCCCTATATTTGAAAAACAAAAGTATCCTGGATGATTTTCAAGCCAGTTCCGTTCTCACAGTTTATAAATGTGTGAAGACTCAATGAGAGTTTAAATACTAGCTACAATCCCTGTACTGCTGGAAATGTCTTTGGGGCGCGGGGGCGCTGAGCCAGCATGCTCACCCCGATATTCTTTCTGCTCTTTGTCCCTTGTCTCACTGTCCCAGAGGTTTCATTTGGACTTGGGAGGGAGTCAACCGTAGACCAGGGCTGGGAACACAGCCACAGGACAGTTGCCCGCCCTGTGTCCTGACCTGTAGATGACAGTATGTCAACAGTGGGTCATAAGCACAGGGCAGCTGTCCCCTGTTCTTGCACCCACAGCCCACAGTGTGTGAGCAATGGGTCACAGCCACAAGGCAGGTTGGAGGATTCAGAAGGAGGTCAAGGCAGGGCCAGGTTCACTGACCCAGGATAGTTATTTGTTCCCTGTTCTTGTACCTGCGGATTATACTGTACAAGCAATGGGTCACAGAAGTTCAAGTTCCTACCTCATCCTCCTCCATAGCCAAGTATTTACTCTGTCCTGAGGTTTTGAAGCCTGCCTCTCAGCACCTGCTGAGATCCAAATTCCCCCAGTCCCTGAAGGAATCACAACTTTCTCCCTGACCACAAGCATCGCTTATCTGCTTGTTCTTTCGCTCTTCCAAACTGCGTGGTTGAACGTCAGGGATGAGCCAGTGAGCAAGTCAGACAAGGTATCTTTTTGTGGACGAATTTTCCTTTGGACGTCTAGTTCACAAAAACAACACAGGTACTTCTTATTAATTATGAAAGCTTGGCTTACAGCTTTGCTTGTTCCCTAACTAGCTCTTATAACTTAACCATTTATATTCATCTATGTTCTATTTTGTGGTATTACCTCTCTTCCATCTTGTACCTCCTATTTCTTTGCATCTTCTGTCATCTCCTCTATGCTTAGATCCTCCTCTTCCTCTCTCAGCTCCTAAGTCCCGCCTATCTCTCCTGCCTAGCGATTGGCCATTCAGCTTTTTATTACATCAATCACAGCAAACACAACTTCACCCAGTGTACAAATATCCCACAACACACACACACACACACACACACATATATATATATATGTATATATATATATATATATATATATATATCATATCCTGTACTGAGGCTTATCTTGACGGTTGCTCACAAGGGCCTGAGCAGCTTTTTAAGTTGAAGAAAGCCCAGCTGTTGTGGTGTTCCAGCCACACACACCACACTGCTCAGTTGCCAGAAGCATTCTTTCTGTGGCCCTGTCTCCTATCTCCCTCATCAAAATATGTCCCAAACCAAAATATGCTCACTGGTTTTCACTTGTGATTTTCTGTACTTCATCTTCCAGCTCTGAGGAGGTGGTCAGCTACACTGGTTGACTGATTAGGTCTCGGTTCCCATGCTTCATTCTGAAGGGGATGATGCTATGACTGTCTGGTTTGGTGGGGTTTTCAGTCATGGTTTGCAAATGTCCATGTCTGAGCACCTGGGCCCAAACAGGAGGCCGTGCTGCTAACGTGTAGGCATGTCTGCCCAGTCCGTCATGGAAGAGTCTCTGTTCAGTGGTACGTAGCCTTTATCTTCACAATAAGACCAACAGTGAGAAGTGGGGATGTGTCTGGACTGCAAAGTGACCGGCTCGGAAGAGACACAGGTCATACTGTACCAGAGAACCACTTTCCTCAGGAACTTGCGTTGCCTTGTGGCCATGAGCTGGGATCATCTATTGATTCACATATGAATGGAATTTATCTGCTGCTCAAGTGTAGGACTCTGAACTCTTGCTGCCTTGCCTGGGTTTCAGTTGCAGCTCCATCAGATTCAAGTACAATGATCATTTCCAATATCTATAAACCTCCGTTTGTAAAATCAAGGATAGACGGTAGAGTTGTTGGGACCATTAAGCAAGTCAGTCCAATGAAGTCTTAGTGTTTAGCACATGAAAACCTAAAATAATAGCTAGAATCAAGGCTCTGGAACTCAAGACTGGGCAACTGAATTAGTCTATGTTCTTATACATCAGAGTTTCATTTATTTCTTTTTTCTTTTTTTGTTTTTCAGACAGGATTTCTCTGCGTAGCCCTGGTTGTCCTGGAAATCATTCTGTAGACCAGGCTGACCTGGAACTCAGAGACCTACCTACTCTGCCTCCCAAGAACCAACTGCTGGGTTTGAAGGCGTGAGCCACCACACTCAGCTTATCTTTCTCCTTTTTGAGACAAAGTCTTGTGGCGTAGTCTAGGCTAGCCTTGGCCTCCTTGTATAGCCAGACTGGCCCCTGAACTTGAAGCAATCTTTATCTCAGTATCTCGAGCCCTGGGATACACCACCCAGCCTAGCTTTGTGTCGGGATTTCTTAACCTCTTGAGCCAGACAATTCTGTATTGCATATGTTGGAAGCTGGATCTGGGAACTGCCATGTATAGTGAAGGATTTAGTACGTTGCCTGGTCACCAGCTAGCAGAGGCAAGAAGCCTCTCTCTATTTGTGACAGTTACAAATGCTTCCTGCCTGCAAAATGAGTCCTGGGAACAAAAATCACTTCTCATTGAGACTCACTGCTCTAAGTACCCAAACATTAACCAGCTAATCAAATGTGCATATTATTATCACAATGCAAACTTGGCCTGTTTGAGGTAGCCAGTTTCCCAAATGATCGTGGTTTGAGGAAGCAATGCTAGCAGTCCCTCCCCATTCCCTCCAGGAGCACCCAACAACCACTGGCAGAATTGCAGGCTCCATTCCACCTAGAGGACCTTTCTGCAACCTAGATGGGGAACCAGGAGGATCTCTCAGCGTATGCTCAATGTAGCATTTCAAAAGTTAAACTGTAGAACTTTCTTAAAACAGTCTTTTGGGTTTAACACAACTTCAAAAGTAATGGTTTTCATTAGAAGTCAGAGTTGTTTAAAAGCAATAGATGTTGTCAAAGGTTCTTTCATTACTACTTATATCGGAGTGACCTTTGACTCCTTTGGATAAAATGTCTCTTAAGCAACAGTTGAAACAGTTTCTAAGCCAGAGTTTAAAACTCAGGGGAAAACAAATCAGATTAGGATGAATTTCCGGCAACTGGAAAGGACTTGTGGCAACTATGTGCAGCCTAGTGCCGTTCTCTGGGGCTCTCTCCTGCCCCCTGGTGATAGAAAGGCGGCACAGGCAGGTACTGTTCACTGTCAGCCACAGGTGCCTGACAGATGGTCATTTTTGTTAATAAGGAATTTGATTTTCTGTTTTTTTGTTTCATTTTTCTGATGAAGAGTCTGGACCCAGAGAAGGTTCAATTAAAGGCCTTACATACATGTGGGGTATTTACAACTGTTTTCAAATAAATCATAAAAATATATTTTTATGAAAAATATAAATAATAATAAATATAAATAACAATAGATAATGATATAATAAATAAATAAAATATAAATAAATAAATAAGAATTAAAAATAAAAATCATAAAAAATGCCCAACTTGATTTAGACAGAAGAAAAATTATAAATAAATCCACAGTCTCGTTTGATGGAAGAGAAGGGGACAAAAGAAAGGAAGGCAGAGAGAATAAAAGTGGGTGGAGGAGAGAAGGGCTTTGAATAAAGAACCTCAGGTCCTCATCTTTCCTCTATCCTAAGAACCAGCATTCAAACCATCCTAAGCAACACTCAAACATCAAGACTCCC